AAAAAGGGGCGGCTGCTGTGTTCTTTTTTACCTTGACATGTTGGCACACAGGCTCCCACGATCTCACACACACTCCGAAGCACTTTGCAGCCGCTTGGTCGGCCTGTGGTGAGTGCTGCTCAGAACAGGAGCTTGGCTCGGAGCGTCTTGAGACACCCATCTCTATACTTCAAGTAGGGAGACCCCCCCAGCTAGACCCCTGTGAAGAAGAAGATCAGTTGTTTTGGATGGGGTTGGGGTCTTTGCATTGCATTCTAAGAAAAACACCCATTTTGTTGAACAAATACGGAGCTACTCCAATTTGTGACATGCACCAAGGGCAGTGAGAATGTTTCCCTATGTGGGGAACCCTCACACCTGAAAAAAGAGTCTGCTTGCGTGGCTTAGACAGACAAGTCATCAGTTATCGACTGTTCACTGTCTCCTGGAGAAATCTTTGCCATGTTCTGGAGAATCCTGCTGGAGTTATTCAAGACGCAACATTATGAACAGAACAATCAGCATATAATCAGCAGAGTCACCAATGTGCACTCTGGCGGGGTCAGATTGAGGCACACACTCCCAACTCTTCATCTCGGCTGAGCGCCAAATCCCACGCTCGGATGCACACCAACTCTCGCTCTGGGCCACACCAACTCTCGTTGCGATAGCCAAACCATTGAGCCAAACCATTGGCGACACCCAGGAAATTGGATTGTTTCAGAGTGGGCCGATTGTCTTTTGTGGAGCTGGCCTGTGGAATGAGTCTTGGCATATGACTCGTTTGTGAGTTGTTTGCATCCTCCTAAACGGGGCTGGACGGAGCCAGAGGGTGGTTCTGATTCGAAACCTGGAGTATTCTTTTAAAGGGACCTGAAGCTCAAGGTCCAACTGTTGGTTGTTGGATGTCCAATCGCCACCAGGTTCCCATCTGACCGCATGTGGGTGTCATTTCTGCTCATCCCCAGATGCGACCAGATCATACTAGATCTCAGCGAGGTCGGCATTATCCTTGGGCACCATGGATGAGAAGCTCCAGGCCAAGTCCGACTTGTCAAGCCTGACACGGACTGGTGATGGACCAGGTCACCCCGAAACTCTAACATGCAACATCATGCAATTGAGCACTTGCACCTGTTAAGATAGAATTTTCATTTTGCCGCGAACCCAAAAGATGCTGCGGAGGAGAAGGGTTTGCTGTTCAGTCTGAGGACTTGTCCACTAGCCAGTTGAGAAGCGTTCATTCAGCCTCAGTCTTGAAGACCGGCCTATCCATGAAACCAAAACACGAGATAAACACCCCACCCTTTACAAAACATGATTATATATATATATAACATGGTATGTCCTTTTGCGTTTTTTTCATGTTTGAGTCACAGCGGCATGTTCTACTTGTTGCAAGTTCTTACAGCAAATCCAGGTCTTGTTAATTACGTTCCACTTGGTTCAGAGAGCCTTTCAGACTGGCTGAATGTTTGAATCTTCTCATGTGAAGATCAACACCCAGAGATGCCATATATCCCACATCGGTGGGTCGACGGATTTTGTGAGACTGTCTGACTGGGCTAAGTGGGTGAAGTGTAGTGAAGTGACACACACACACACAACATCATGATTGCAAACAGCTTCCAGACATTAACCAGTTTTGATTATGCATCTCCCCCTCAGCCATGATCATTGAGTAATGGAAAATCATTGCTCTCTCCTCCCCCTAAGTAATCCAAGACAATCACACGGACACCGGTGGGTTGCTTCGACATCGCTCGAAGATGAACATGTCAGGTCTGCTTCGACATGTTTGACTCCGAAGGCCACTTGGACCCCCCTATACTAGTAACTATATAGATCGAAGCTACTAGTAGCAAGGACGCTATGCTCGGTGGAGGCCGCAAGTAGGTTGGAGGCCATTGCTACGAACGGAGCAAGGCAAGAAGCTACGAACGTAACAAGAACTTTACCCCCCAAAACGGCACTCCGGGCCTGCGGAGCAGTTTTGAGCGGTCACAGCGCTGTTCTTGGTGTTGCGAATGGACTGGGAAGAGAGTTCGAGGAAGGCACCAAGACAGTCTATTGTTGTCTCATGTTGTTCTCCTAACAACTTAAAGCACATTGCTAGATGATAGATGATGTCAGCGATCTTCTTTGCAGTCCTCCTTTGCTAGTTGAGCAAAGGACACTATCCAGTGCACCCTTACCATCTTGCCCAAACAGTTCCAGCTCCTCTCTTGCTACTCTAGTCAGTCCCTGTGCAAATGCTGTTTCTGGAAACCAAACCATCTTCGTCTCGCCGAACACGCCTTCCCACGCCGCTCAACCACACCGAGGCCGCCGTGCCTTGTCTTTGTCGGATGTGAACGACCTCTGTAGCACGCTCTTCCGAGTGGCGCTCTCCAGTGGCATGGGCCAAAAGCATGCTTCCACTGACGAGGCCACAGTCACACAGCCCTCACCGGAGCGTCTTGAAGGTGTCCGCCCTTCAGGGAGGTGGGTGGTGTGTGGTTTTGACCACTTGGATGCCCTTAGTGTGTGGCTGACCTGGGAAACCTTTTTGGCTGAAGCAGAAGGGTTCCAACAGATCAGATTCGGTATGCTCATAAAAACTCGATGACCAGTTCTCAATTAGCTGCAAATGTCCATCAGATCATCGAGTCATAAGATCGCTCTGCACGTGCGACTGCCAGCTCTCCTGCAATCACCAAGGTTGACTCTTTTGAGCTCCAGTCACTCCGGTCCTGTTGGGCTGTTACTAGTAGCTTCTCGTTACTAGTAGCTTCTAGCTACTAGTAGCGATGCCCTTGTTCCTCGTAGCGATGCACCTTGTTTGGGTTTCATCGTTTCATCTCATTTTCACAGGTGGTGAGCCTCTTGTCACGGAGGTCGACCCCCATCGAGGCGCAGCGCTGCGCGTGGTGACTGTGACACGCGCGCCCGCGCGCGGTGGGTGATGTGACATTCGCGGCGGTGCTGCGGCAGAAGTCCCAAAGAAGCGGAAGATCGCGGCGAAGATGAGAGGATTGAAGCACTGTGATGGTCCACCAAATTGGGTCGAAGACACTTGCATTGGGTGGGCAAAATGTCATAAAATATCTAGTGCTTGCAGCAGCTTGCTTGTAATAATTGAGACATACTGAGTACTGCTTGTTATCCTGTAACATCCTCAAAACCACATCCTTGCATCCTGCTTTGCTCGACCAATCTCTTACACGGGATCCCTATGGATCCCTATGAAAGATCTCAGTCCGCGAAAAAGAATATCATCCATGCAGAAGATCCCCCGTGCTCGGTCCTCTATAAAATGACGATCGTTTGACCCGCGAGACGGGGTGTTCTCCGGGAAGGTATCATCTTCATAGCATTATCATCGGTATCACAACATGATCATCAGTATCGTAACAGGATCATCGGTTTCATAAACAGATCCATCGGTGTCACAGCACTGTCATCGGCTTCACAACATTGAACATCGAAACCTGTCGGCAGCTCATGGACTCAACCAAAGGCCTGGTCTAGAAAGTCTTCTGGATGTACTGACCCTCTTTCACTCAACAGTGGACGGCCTCCGTGCACCGTCCGAATGTTTCAAACAGGCGTTGTGGTCGCTGTGAAAAAGACACAAACCACGCGACTCACCTCGAACCTCATTTTGGACACCCTTTGAACACACTGTTTTTTAACAGTGTAAACGCACCAACTCAATTTTCCATTGCGAAACATAGGGTTTCGAGCACATCCACATGCTTTTTTCACGCATGCCCGAGAATCAAAACAACGCAATTACAAACAGTTTGCATACATGCCTCACATAAAGCTCATCATTGAGAGCCTTTGCAAAGACTCAACATGCGCGCACATATTGGAAGTTTGTTCGCGCAACTTGATGCCTAAGATAGCCATTCAAACATCACTGCGCAAACTTCTCACCAGTGGCCCTGCGAACATAGACTATCCAAGCTGAGCACAACCTATTGAACCCTCGGAGAACCTACCGTCTCGACCACCGTCATTTGACATACATTTTACCAAAAGCATCCAAAAGCGGTAATTAAATATTGAACAATTTTTTCTGGGAAACTGAAGTGATTTGGACGACATGATCGCCTGTCCGATGTCAATTTCCCATGATCATTTGGTCGTCCAGGACGACCTGGGCAATGCTGCCACATTCGCAGGCGGAGGCTCCAGGCCGGGGTGGTGGATGAGGCATGTCTTGGGAAACATCTGGATGATACAACCATCTACAAGCAGCAAGCATGTTCACTCAAGACCGTTCGGCTTATTGTTGTCAGTTGCACTGAACAAAAGAGATGTCTGGTTGCATCTGCTTAGGGTCATATTTGTTCATAACAGTGGCATGGGTGTTGCTCGCTTGGTGGATCAGCCCGACACATCAAGTTGTCAGTAGCTATCCTTGTGCAAGGTCTATGTACCGCAACTCCACGGGTTTCTGCACGGGAGAAACAATAAGAAACCAAGCGTGCTGGTGAATTCATGGGTGCGGTGGCATCTCTGCCAGCGGCCAGCCGTCTCGGTTTATCACATTTGACCTGTTCGATTTCCATGAGAACCATGGCACCCACTCCCAATATGCCCAGCATCGGAGTGAGCGTTTATGATATCAGGCTGTACTTTGCGGCTCGCAGACATACTGCAGATGTCATATTTTTTGCAATGAACACATACTGGTACCATGAATTTGTCAGGACAGCAACGTACCGTTCAAAAGCTTTACAAAATCCCACGTTTTGAAATCGGATATTGTGATATTTATGTAATTTTGGATTGAAGCAGTGTCGAACACTCTGAAAGGGAGTTTCATTGAGTTTATACTTTTTGTTTGTTTCGAATTCACCGCCTCTCACATCCTGACGAAAAAAACCATCTCCGACCATGCCTGGGCCAGCTCCTTCCTGCCGAGCACGCCACCTCAGAGGAAGAAGACACTGGTGGGGGTCTCCCAGGTGATTCGGTGACTCCGGAGAGTCTGCGCCTGTCCCAACACACTCTAGTAGCGGCACTTAGTAGCGATGGCCTCCACCGTAGTAGCGATGGAGATGGCCTCCACCCTTGTAGCGATGGCCTCCAGGCCTCCACCCTAGACACACAGACACAAGAGGACCCATTGTGTTTTGTCATCATTTTCACTGAAAGAATGGCACCGAGCTTTGTTGAGTCCAGGACTCAGAGGAGAAGGAGGATCTTCTATGTCTGATTCAGTGATTAAGGGGTGGCGTTGGTCAAAATATGACTCTTGGGACATCTTGGGACCAGGAATCAGACGCGCACGAAGCCATTTCGAGAGTGAAAAAGGAGGAGAAGGACCCTGACAGGTCCCCTGAAAAAGCGGGAAATCGTTCCAATATCTGGACGCAATCCTTACATCAAGACATATCAAGACCAGGCGACCTTTTTGGATTTGCGGGTGGTTTGGAGACGCAGACACTCCACCATCATGCTAGTCCATCGGCTGCCCAGCCTCAAGGTCCCGAAGAACCCCTCAGAGCAGGTGCCGAGGGGGGATGTGACCGAGGTTCGGCGGCGCGGTTTGAGCCCACAATTCAAAGGCGGCAAGAAGATGAATAAGACAAGACAAGAATGATGGTATCACATCATGTGTTTGAAAGAACAGGTGGATAGACACTTGGCAGATGGTCTTGGCAGATGGTCGCATATGAACAAGCCGGAACATCCCCCCCGCAAGAGGATGTTCCTTTACGGCCCTTCACCATCCTAGCAACAAAGAAGAACTGAAAGACTGAAGATCCATGATTTACAATCCCTGAAACAGTCCTGAAAGTGAAACTGGAAGACCTCTACAAGTCCGAGGGAGGGTACCCATGTTCACCCCTCTGATGTGCCTCGCCTTGATGAGCCAGGACCCCTCGCGCTCCATGCTCTTGCGTCTCTTGGCCGCTGCCAAGGTTGGATTGGAACACAGAACTAGTTTGGTAAGCCATGTTTTTCAGGCGCATTGACTTCGGAATGTGACTTGTGACTCCGTCTCTGACGCCTGGGATGCGGCCCGCCGCATGGTGGGCTGCCCAGCGCTCCAGAAGCGGAGCAGTGGAGCTGCATTAGGAAGTGTACATGAACAAAGCTGTAATCATTGGTCGAGTTATGTCGACTTCAGGCATTGACTTCTTGTGTTTTTTCTTGGAATCGAAGAGATCTCCCTCGAGTTGGAGGTTTTCCATCCACACGTCCAAATCGACATCTGACAGGTGCGCACCCCCGGAGGGCCCTGGCTGGTGGCCTTCGAAGACTTCTGCAATGCTGCGCGCATGGAGCCGGCCCTGCTGCTCACGTGCAAGAGCGGAGGATGGAAGGAATTTAACCGAGGGATGTTGCTGGTTTTTGGGGGGTTGGATGCTTGCACAGCAGAGTTGAAGACGGAAATCCCACACACAGCTCGCTGGAGACACCACCAGTTCGGGTTGGTCAAACATGACCCTCCTCCAGATGTTATGATTCATGGCTCGTTGTTGGAGTGAAAGTCCTAAAGGACATCATGACAGCAAACTCTGTGCGAAGATGGTCAATATCCCCATGGGGTTCTGTTTGCCCTAAGGCTCTAACACTTCCCAAGACACACGGTAGAACAGCAACAGATCAAGTGCACACAAATTGATTGATGTTGCGTGATATTACATGATTCCCGTGGGTCCAGGTGTATTCTTTTGAGTGGGAAGCATGCAACATGAGATACACATGCGGAAGTGATGATGTTGAGGTATTTGACACTTGCCACCACTGGCCCGTAATGATCCTCGCGAGGCTTTGTTTATTTTCCTGGTGTTTGCCACGGCCGCCCCAGCCTCTTTGGCTGCAAGATACGTGAAAGCTGGGCGTCAATTGCAACCAACGGCGACGTGTTCGCACCGGAGGATGTTGACGTGTTATTGGCCCCTGCCCAACCAAGGTGTTGTGGTCTCGACAAAGGATGTGTTAGATCGTTTGAGGCCATTCTTTAGATGGCATATGGCATATGTGAGATAGGCAGAACTTTCAATCTACTGTATCTTATCAATAGATTCACTTGTTGATCGATTTGGGGATCAGGGAAGAAGTGCGTTGTTTGTGTTTGCATCCCTGCCCAAGTCGGCGGATGGGAGCTTGGCTTTCGCCAGATCCATACAGATCCCAACAAGGGCATGTCACCTGTCGCTTGGGAAGAGGCTGCTCCCATTCCTGTATATATGGTTTTGGTTCAAAACATAGCACCATATAGTGCTTCAAGGCGGTTCAAGAAGCATGGGATGAGGCTGATTGCTTGAAGTTATATAAATCAAACATATAATCAATCTTGTCTTCATCCAAGAACCAGTTGGACACCCATGGAGGTGACCTAATCATGAGTCGTCCTTGCGGACTGACACCCTTGTCAAAGCCATGAGCAATCCCTCCTCTGAATAAAATTAGACAAAATTAGAGGATTTGCTATCAGGGTTGGGTAGAATTGGTAGACCGTCAGTGGAACAGCAGCGGGGCGATGAAGAATCTTGCACCACTGGAACTTAAGAAACTCCCCTCATGAACCAGCAAGCTCTTGGGCCGCTTCGGGTACCCTCCTGCAGAGGACCACATAGACCCTGAGAACCACGACCATAGAATCCATTTTCGCGGTCCATGCCATCCGGATCACCCTCTCAGGAATTCCTTGTTTCTTGAGAGTACAAACTCTCAGAGTGAGCAACCTGGATTTGTTTCACGGTGGTGCACCAAGATTTGCCGGTGGTTTCGTTCAAGATGACAGACGAACAAAAGTATTATAAATATATATAGTAAATATAAATGGGACGGAATATTGGGGAAATATATTCTTTATATATACATTATATGATTTTCCTTTATCTATAGTTAGTTGGAATTATATTTGACTATTGTGAATGTGTGGCCCACACATGATCGTTTTGGTCGATCCCTCCCGTTGCCAGGTTAGACACTTGAGTTTTCACTGCTACGCCTTTCGGCGCAAACCGCCCATCAGCGCACTTCGTTCGGTGCTCCACGGTCATAGCTACCATCAAATTGGTAGCGGAGCCTGCGGGCTCGAACTCCATACGCTACCTGCGCCATTTCGAGATCGTCTTGCTCGATTACAAGATCGATGGCTACATCCTCGACGAGCGTTACAGACTCATCCAAAGACAGCTGGGTTCCGCAATTTAGCAACCGACCTGCTGATTACCGAGAATGGCGAGCTCGGATCCACCTGCACCAGAAGAAGATGGTGATTCAGAAAAAGCCTCTTGAAGGGATCATCAACATCATCACCAATCTCTCCGGAGTTGCATGGAAGCAGATCGTGCACGTTCCAATACGACGAACGGGTGGAGCAACCAAGGGCCTTCGAGAAGTTGTTCTATTCCCTGAGCCGACGAGGAAAGCAAATTTTGATGTCATACTGCACGGAGCACCGTGAATGTTTGCGTGAGGTCGAAAAACACGGCATTCGGTTGCCGAAAGAGGTCATTGGCTGGTTCCTTCTTCGACGCAGCGGCCTGACGCAGGAGCAGAAAAAGTTCGTGTAATCGTAGTGCGGTCCCTCCTTGGTAGAAGACAAAATTGAACAGGCCATATACTACCTGTATGGCTAAGACTATCGTGGACGTGTTGGTTATGTACACTTCCAACGACCAATTGGCCGTGGTAAGGGCAACAGCCGCTGGAAGAAACCTTAAATGGTATACACTGCTTATGACTACTAGGAGAATTACGATGACATCCCTGAAGAGCTTTATAATGTAGTTGACTATGACCTCGAGCTTTATGAGAATGACGAGTAGTATGAAGATGCTTATTATGAAGAAGAGGATATCGAAGAAGAGCAATTCTACACCATTTAGGAGGATGATCTTCTTGACATGGACGATCCGGAGTGGAAAGAATGTTACGCTACCTATACTTGGATGCCAAACGGCGTTTTGTAGAGTTGAAAACTAATCATGGCTTTTATTCGGTCGTCGCCTTTATCGACACTGATGCAGCTTAAGGCACCGGCCCCTAGAGATCCTATCCTCTAAAGTCTTTAAAGGAATCAAAATTCAAAAACAGATCCCTACCAACACAAAAGGGGAACGCCAAGAGCCATCGCTTCTATGAGTTCGCCAAAGGCAGGAATATGCCTTCGTTGTGGATTGCTAGGATATTATGTAGCATAATGCCCCTAGATTGCAAAATGTAGCCCAACATCCTCGACCACTAGCTTTTCGAAGAAGGTAAAGAATGAAGCCGCCATGATGATGTCTATCGAAATGAAGGACCTCAACTCATAGCCCATTGGCTTGTTTGGTACCTTGGATGGAGGAGCAAATTGTATGGTGCCTGGACATGAAACACTCCTATATTACATCGAGCGATGGTGAGTGGAAGCTCATTGTTATGGGTGCTCGAAAAGAGTATTTCCTTAGATTAGATGATGATTTTACCTCTGAAAAGTTGATAGGTCCCTACGACTTCGACTATTTTTTGGAGGAGACCTACAATACATGGACACAACGACAAGACAACACACCGACAACATTTGAGCCCTATAACCTTTGGCACTACCTCGAACTCATAGGCCTGACACCGCCAGACCTCTAATAGGAGGAAGCTCTGCGCGGCAATGAACTGATAGACCACCAGGAGACAACAAGCGATAGCAATTCAACAATAGACCCCTCAGACATGGATGACGATGACACAACACACCGGCGTGCACTGACCGACAAATTGGTCCGCACTTTGGGGCTACATTAATAGCAACAAGCCCTTTATAGAAAGGCAATCACTGATGAAATTCTTTAACTCTAGATAGATGCAATTCTGGGAGATTTATTCCGATAATGCTAATTTGGCAACAACCATGGCTAAAAAAAGGATACAAGGTTAAGACCTTTGATATCATGAACGGTTGGGACTTTATTAAACCCAACCACTAGCGAGACTTCATACACCTCTTCTATTATGCAGCGTCCGAAGCTATTTGGATCGCACCTCCGTGCACCAAGTGGTCGCCGATGCAACGATTGAATATTAAGACGGAGGTTGACAAGGAACGATTCGAAGCACAACAAGAATATGAAGAAGGAACCCAGCTAAGATTCAACAAGACTATTCACAACAGACAATGCAAGCAGAAACGCATCTTATTCTTTGAATATCCTAGGTATGCATAGTCCTGGAATCCACAAATATTCCCATAATTTGAAGGCCATGATGCCCACGTAGACCAATGCCAATATGGTGCTACCATGCCTGAGTATGAGGGCATCGAACAATACATCCGCAAACCAACAAGATTGAGGATCATATACTAGACCCTGGTAGACCACTTTGAACGGCTATACCACGATGAATATTAAAACCTGTCGATAGAAGGCAATTTATCGAATATCGGCAATTGAGCATTTACAGATGTATGAACAATGGGCCAGCATATTTCATAACTTCATGCAGCACGACTTCTGGCCTGAAGCAAGCAACGAAGACCCACAAGCAATCGCAGAACAAGAACAAGAAGCACCTGATCTGAACAGCAGCCAATTGGTACCTTTCTTTGAGCCCGATGATGACCACATTGAGAATAACAAAGGCATTCTAATAAGATTACAAGAGACATAATTGTCAGCAGCCCGACGCACAGTCCAACAATTGCACCGGAACTTCGGACATCCAAAGTGGCCAAAGTCCTGAAGTCTAAGAAGGCCAGCGCTTCCGTCCTGTTGGCAGCCCATGAGCACACCTGCCAATTATATGATGCCCATCGAGCGCCCGCTCAAGTGGCCAAGAGTCCACTTCGCACCGGAGGCAGCTTCAACACAACAGCGTAAGCAGATACAATATGGATACATCCACCACCAAAGCACCACAAGGACAAGCCAACAACAATTCCAGTCCTATCCATCGTGGACACGACCACCAAGTTCATGGCCGCTCGTATCTTGACCAGAGAGCAATCTGACAACCTCATACAAGCCTTTGAACGTAATTGGATAAGATTCTTTGGTCCACCAGCCATCCTCCAATTTGATGATTATAGAGGTTGGGTTTCAGACGCACTTCGAACCTGGGCAAATGACCACGGAATTGAACTTGAGATTGCCTTGGCTAGCCACACACCAAATTGAAGGTAGTTGAAAGATGCCACCAAATTTTGAGACGAGGCATTACATTTTTCCTAGCACAACAGCCCGAGGACAACATGTCCGTCCCAGACACGCCCAATGTCCAAGGCTTTAGTGCCACCCAATGGGCCATGGGAATGCAACCTCGCACCTGAGACAGCACCAAGCCATCCAATACCACTACTCCACCGGCAAACGCGTCTATTATTGGCGTGACGCACCAGGTGGAGCCGGCCCAAAGCTGAGATGGAAGGGATTAGCCGTGGTTATGATGATCGAACCTGCACGAATTGGACCAACCACAAACACCTACTGCACATGGCACTACCCTATTGAGAATGTCTAGCGAACACCTTCGATTAGATCTCAATCACGCCGATGACATAGAGCCAACCCAGAGGGCAAAGCAAGCCCTTGACCAGATCCGTGGCAGAATTTCCATTCTCTGCACCGACCTGATCAAGATTAACATGCGCAAACGCACAGAGATGGTAATTGAAGATGAAGATGATATCATGGAGCCACCAACACCTCCTGCCGACACGCCCAGGGAAGAACAAGACCACTGGGATGTTGATGAAGACGGCTTAATTTGGATTCGCATTCACGTCCGGCCAAGACAAACACTTTATGTCCCTATAGTTGATGACCAAGCACTAGCACAAGACTTCCAAGATGCCCGGACAACTCCCATCCGGATGCTAGAACAACCACACAATAACCGCATAGTGTTGCGAGATGACTGGCGCTTGCCAAATGCCACACGTGGTATGCCATTCCATTGGACCGGAACCACAACGTTTACGTTGAGGATAGACCGAAGACAGCGAGCCACAAAGAACAAAGCACCACCCATCGGGGATCCGGCCGATTGTGACGATCCCACCATGGATGCCGATACCATAATGGGATTCAGACCTACACAACAAGATGGCACCACAGCCACTTCGACCACCGAAGGGCAAGGCACCAGTGAGCAGCCCCCAATGGCTGGCTGAACCAGAGATGATAGCAACAATACCACCATCACCCTCCAATATGGGAGAAGAACCTGAACTACCACCCAATATGATGGAACCAGAGGTCATTGAGACCATGCCAAAGCACTAAAGGGAACTCTATGGCGCATCTGAAGCACCTGAAACATTCCGACAACAAAGAATGAGGATAGACAGGCAAGAAACCCTGTCCTTCTACGCTCCAAACACAACCAACCGGGTCCGACATGGACCAAACAGAGAGCCATTCGAAAGAAGACAGGACATGAACAGCCCCTATAGCAAACCACCAGCTCCTGATCCCGAATCGGCACTCCTACAAACAACCTACGAGGCTGACATAGCCCGAACGGACAAAGACACATTGCCACCAGGTTGGACCCTGGAGAACGGGTACCTTACACTCGACGAGACCCGAGACGAGTGGGTCTACAAAGATGACAAGCTGATCCGCAGACACTTCGTACCACGTAACCATTGACCCAACGGAGGCAGGATGCCACCTTCCTGTGCACTACCTCAGAAAGGACCGACACATGACAGGCAGTGGTAACTTGAACAAGTACGACCACTGGAAACAGCAGAAGAGCAGAGACATGCAATAGACATGGACAGGACAAACGCTCTTCAAAATCCTGCCAGCCTTCCGGCTACT